TAAATTTATAAAATAAACTACATATTTTTTTATGTACCATTCATCTTACAAAATTTTTTTTTCAAGTATAAAACTTTATTGCATAAAAAGTTGTGGATAAATTATCTTCTTTTATATGCTTATAGGTTCTCTTGTGCAAAAGCAAGACAAATAGGCTTTAATTTGTTTGTATGCCGTCAAAAGTCAAGAAAGACCATTAGATTGACGAGGAGCCAACAAAAATGAAGGAACAAAAGAAAACTTGGTGAAGAGAGAAGAAAAGAGAACCCAAACAAAATATAGTAGTACTAGAAATTAGAGAATATAAGGAGTAGTTCCCCCACGGTCAAAACTCAAAAATCAAAGTGTGAAAAGAGAAAAGACAAAGGAACCAGAGTTAGGTATTATTTTGGGGAAGCAAAAGACATGATAGAGAAAATTGGCATCCTGACATCAAGTCATGATTGAACTTACACCCCACTTTCTTTCCATTTCCCCTCTTTCTATATAACCACACACCAATTCCCCTCCTTTTTCTTAACCACATATCGATCATAGATCTCCATCTCGTTCTTTAAAGTTCAAAACTTTCCTCCTCTTTTCCTCTCAAATCTGAATCTAAGAGCAGACTCTGTTTCTGAGTCTTGTTTGCCATGCGAGAAAATATGATCGTCGAGAAAGAAGTTCTGGGTTTGAGTCTCAGCTTGAGTTTTCCTCAGAACCCTTCTTTGCATCTCAACCTTTCATCGTCTTCTCCATCCGGGTTAACCCTTCAGAAACCGGTTTGGAACGACGCTACTCATGGTTCCGGTATGTTCTTAGGCTTTTGCGCATTCCCTTTTCACTCTCTGCCTTTCCAAAGAAACAAAATGCTTAAAAAGTTAATTACTTTAATTATACTATTGAAAAATTAGTACTTTTAAGATTGATTTCACTGAGCTTTTCTGTTTTTCACATGCTAAAGTTCTTTTTTTTTTTAGGGCTTTTGCATGCAGATCTCAACTCGGAATCTAGCCGGCCGGAGATGAAATCCTTTCTACGAGGAATCGATGTGAACAGATTGCCGTCGACGGCGGATTGCGATGAGGAAGCAGGAGTCTCGTCCCCAAACAGCACGATTTCGAGTGTAAGTGGAAAGAGAAGCGAGAGAGACGGTGGAGAGGAGCACGAACTCGACAGAGCCTCCTCTCGCGGCATCAGCGACGAGGAAGACGGCGATACTTCTAGAAAGAAGCTCCGGCTTTCCAAAGATCAGTCAGCAATCCTAGAAGAAAGCTTCAAAGAACACAACACTCTCAATCCAGTAAGTAAAATTAAAAAATAGCATTAATTGAGATTTAAGATTTGCTTTAAAGCACATTAATTGTTTGAAAGAGGACGAAAACTGAACTAAACGAGTTTAAGACCCACTATTTTCAAGTGGGTCAAATGGTAAGTGACTTATTTCAGTTTAAGTAAGATTTCAAGTTTTAAGTAAGATTTCAAGTTTTAAGTAAGATTTTGAGTTTGAGGTTTTATATATGCAGCAGTTTTCGTTACGAGATTCACTCACTATTTTCAGATGGGTGACGCGAGTCGGATTCGTGGGTGAAGTCCCAGATATCGGACGGGAAATATAAAAAGAAAACAGAAAAACATGTGACACGTGTCGCTCACCTACCCATCTGTCACAAACACCCCCCTCTCTAACTCTCCGTCATCCTATTTCTTCCCCTGTACCCTCTATTCTCTCCATTTTCAGTTTTCCAAGTTTGTTAAGAGCAAAAGGTGGAGTAGAACTTAGGTTATCCCCGATCCTCGGCGATTCCCCAGGGTCTAAGAATTCCTCCTCAGCGTTTCCAATTTCTGGAAAGTTTTCTCATTTTCCGATTTCATCCATCATTCATCACACTGCCACCGTTTCCGCCGCCTTCCTACCTTCCGATCAACCCTCCTCTGCCTTAATATGGTCTTGGTTTCTTCCAGAAATCGCTATTCTGTAATTCGACAATTGATTCCTACCTTTCTCCTTTGCTGTTGCTCAAATTCGGGGGATTAGGGTTTCTGTTTGAGGACTCTGAAATTTTCCTTATTGTTGTGTCTTGTTATAGATAAATTAGGAGATTAGGGTTTTTATTTTTATTTTTTTGCATATTTGGCTTGGCTATAGAAGTGATTTTTTTTTTTTTTTTCTGGGGCTATGTGTATTGAAGAATTGAAAGGGGAAGAAGAGGGGGTAGAGAGAGTTGGGGAAGATGAAAGTAGGAACCTTTGTTCAAAGGGCAGTGCTTTGGTCACCAATCATAGTGTTGTAATATTGGATACTAAGAGATTATTGGTAGGGGCTGGGGCTCGTGCGTTATTTTACCCAACCCTGCTCTACAATGTTGTTAGGAACAAGTTTGAACCCGAGTTCCGCTGGTGGGATAGGGTTGATGAGGTAAATTATGTTTATGTTGCTATATGCTTTTAATTAATTTCTTCTTCTTTATTTTTCACTTGTAGTTTAGGTGATATGTTTCTATGCCTATTGGTTAATTTTTTTTAATATATATATATATAGATATATATGAATTTTATTTTTCTAGTTCTTTTTTCTTGTATTGGTTATGAAGCCATTATTGTTCTGGAGAATTATGCTATCTTTAATTTTTTGTGGTTAAAATACTAGTTTTGCAAAGAATATGAGATGGATTATCCCGTATGGGAGTTGGAGCATACTTTTTAATTCTAATATATTTCTTCTTTCAGTTTATTCTGCTAGGTGCTGTTCCTTTTCCTTCTGATGTTCCTAGGCTAAAGGAGCTTGGAGTTCAAGGAGTAATCACTTTAAACGAACCATATGAGACTCTGGTCCCGACATCGCTTTATAAAGTGAGTGTTCCATCTTGTTTGCCATGCTGGGTTTTTAGTACTTATTATGAGATTTTACTTGTTGGTTCTATTGACCTTACTCTTGCACATGAGTAATAAAAATTTGGTCAAAGAAATTCCTACAGTAAATAGCAACCATACAACTGGCCAAAATGCCTACGGTAATTTCTAAATTTTGAGATATCAGCAATGAATCTACCTGATTGATTCTCTTTGTCACAATGATGGACAGGAGAATTTGTATTTCTGGAAATATATAAGATCAAATAATAAAGTTGTTCTTTTCGTTGTACCCATTTTGTAGCTTGCTACTGACTTCTTTTCTTTATTACTTCTGGATTTCTCACATATCCTTGGTGCATCTTGATTTGGCTAGAGTCATGGCATTGACCATTTGGTGATTCCTACACGAGACTACTATTTTGCTCCATCATTAACCGATATACAGCAAGCAGTGGACTTCATTCATCGTAAGTGGTTACTTGCACATATGATTTCCACACTAAAAGTATTTAGATTAGTTTGCACCACTGGTCTGCTGTTGTTCTTTTAACTCTAAATTTAGTCTAACAGTCTTCCTTAATGTTCTCTGACTCCCTCCCTCTGCTTAAAGGAAATGCTTCTCATGGTCAAACTACATATGTTCACTGCAAAGCTGGTCGTGGCCGGAGTACAACCATTGTTTTATGTTACCTGGTCAGTACCATATCTGAAAATTGATATCATCATAGGAAATATGTTGAGATTTATTAAGGGGACTTGTATTTTTATGTAGGTCCAACACAAGCAGATGACACCTCAAGATGCATATAGTTATGTGAGGTCCATAAGGCCAAGGGTGCTTTTAGCCCCTTGCCAATGGCAGGTTTGTATTTTGGGTCTTTCTCTGCAATCAGGTTCTAGAATTTTCTCATTAGCTGACTAATTGAAAACAATCTTTTCCCTGTTATTATGAATTATAATTCCATTTTATTTCTTGGGACCATTGCAGGCTGTTCAAGAATTCTACCGTCTTAACTTGAAGGGCAGCAACATGGCTGACCTGGTTATAAAGACTCCAAAGTATACTCAAGATCTTTTGGCCTTCGATGAAGGCTCTGTGGTAGTGGTAACAGAAGCCGATCTTGACGGCTATGATCCATCTCTTGAATCTACTGCTGTTGGAAGTGAGATATGGGCAGATTTAAGAAAGGTCGACCGAGTTAGGGTTGTTGGTCAGGCAGCAATGGCAAGGATCTCCTGCCTTTGGCTCCGCTGTCGGGCTGATGAAAAGGTTTCAGCCGAGAAACTGGTTAGGGAGAACAGCTGCCTCGGAAGTTTTAGTGTAGACATTCATGTCTACTGAAACTACACGCGAGGTTCAGCAATTTTTATGTTTTATACTTCGTACATAAGTGCCAATAACAATTTACAAGGCACCAGAGTTATGTTTCCCTTGCTCTTTGTAAAGCCAGTTTTTTCTTCTGAATCAAATTGAAAGATGCATGACAGATCAAAGTGTCTATGTATTCAAGCCACAGAAAAGCCTTCCAAAGGTGAAACCAACCAACGACTTTATATCAAGAATACACGCAGCTTCCACAACACAGATTTGCAGAAAATGTCTCCAATAGGCTTTTGTCCCAAACACCTTCCACATAACACTACGTAAATCATTGTTTGATGTAGAGCACAGACAAAAACAAATAAGGTAAACTCAAGCATAATAAACTGTTGTTTTTGTATCAATAGCTGTGTAAAGAATAATATATTGAAGCTAGGAAGTACAACATTCACTATGGAATGATATAAATTACAAAAATAATACAATTTAGGAGAAAGAACTAGATGGCACGTTAGTCTTGTGCCTCGGCCCTTTGGAAAAGCGCAGGCATATTCAGTGATGGATTTGAGATCATACACGAGGACTAACAACAGAAGACCCGTGACACAGAAGCGAGATTTGAGAAAAGATCATATTTCTTCCTTTGCTATCTGCACTGGCTTGTCTTTTAGAAATGCAACATCGCTATTTGGTGTAGTGAGCAGATAATGATCTGCCCCTTCTTCGCTTATGGTTGTTAGAGATGTTGCAGCAGAATCTGATCCTTCATCATCTGTGTTGGCATAACATCCAGATCAACAAATGAAAAGGCGACGACTCATTACAAGTCACAAAAATTTGTACATTTCGTGCATGGTTGTGAAAACTGATTTTTCATAATAGCATTTATTCTTTGAACAGTCAACTAAAGCAGTTTTCTCCACAAGAAAATGAAAATGACACAGATCACATGATACGTGAAAATAGATGTCCAAAGAAACTCACCAGAATATGCTGGAAGATGTTGAACTGCAGCAACTTGAATATTTTCCGGCAGAAGACAGTTACAGAACGATCCTGAAATTTTAACACATTTTCCAATAAGATGGAGGGCCAATCACGTGAAGAGATGAGACATTAAAATTTGGAAGTATACTACCGAACCCTTTGAAAAATGTATACTAAGAAGAATAGCGTTTAAGCTTCTACTAAAATCATAAAATTGATCAATATTCAACATTTGTGGAAAGCAGTTAGGAAGGTAGCTTTTAGAAAATTCAGAATGGGACACTAACTCTTGAACCATCCATTTTAAATGTGAGGTCATTCAACGAATGTTTTCCCTAAATTGAATGCTCGCAAAGTTTAATAAATTGCAACAACTTTGTCTCTCTATCTATCAGTTGGCTATATTTATAACCATATCACGCAAATTTGCAATTTAATAGGTCCAGAAGCTATCCTTAAAGATGTGAGATAGCCTCTCAAGTGGCATTAAAATGCATGTAGAAAAGTTCCTCACCTAGTCTAGCCAGCCGGTTTACCCATCCAGGAATAGACTTTCCAGTGAGCTGCTTACATATGTCATCAGTAAAATGGTTGCAGTTCTTGGCAATCAAATGATATGTGTCCCCATGATATTTTTGAGAAAGCTCCTCCATGAAAGACTGAAACTCTGCATGAGACATGTCAATGCTACCCAACAACACTGACCGTCTAAAAATGAAGCCAGGACAACTTCTTGGTTGCACTTCAAACACACCACTGCTGGGGTACTCATGGGCTCCAAAGCCAAATTCCGAACCATGCACTGATTAGCAAAATAGGCACAATTTGTTAATGCACCAAAATTTACTTACAAACATAATCTGAAGAAAATGGGAGATTAAATTATTGTTTTTGACATTTTGTGAAAAGGGACATAATTTTTCCATGCCAAAAGAACCTAAAAAGTGCACCAGATGAGACACAACTTGTGAAAGCTCTTCTATATTTTCCACATGCCAATTCAAAATTGTTCAAATTAAGGGTCATCAAGGCAAACTTATGAAAAGTAAAATTCATCCCCACTACTCAGACAAAGTTGAAAATAACTTTTACACAATCTTTGGAGAAAGACTGTACTAACCTACCTACCCTATTTCATTTTTCATTCTCATAATAAAAAGGAAAAAGGGGCTTGTTGCAATGTGAACTGCTTCAAATCTTTTATTGGTAAAATGCACAGCTTGTATAAACCATAATGGTTCATCTCAGCCTAAATGGAACCAATTTTAGATATCACCCAATAGCATTCACAGCTTGAAGTGGCATAATGTTCAACCTTCACTCTCTTTGACAATTTTTTAGCTAGAGCTACAAAACATAGGATAACCCTCCCCTTTCCCAATTCCCTCTCTACTCGACCGACATTTGAACTTGAGATCAATAACCAGAACCTCAAACTTTTTAACATTTTGGATATTCCCTAGTGGGCAATGATCCTCCCATTTCAATGACTTAAATGTTGGTTAATAATTAATAAATTTCAAGATACATGCTCAACTCCTTCCTACTATAAAATCCTACTCCTTTCTTATTGTTTCATAATTATTGTAGCTCCCCTTTTAATAAAAACACAAAAGAGCAACCTATTGTCAGCTTCACATATCTGATGCAGCAAGCAAATAAGCAATACACAAAAAACTCATACATGTTTAGCTACAGCATCCCCTGTGAAAGTACTAAATCACTATCTCAAAATCCTTCCTGAAAATCTGAAAGCAGTTTATCTTGTCATTTTATGTGTTTTTTAAAGGTAATTATCAGATAACCAAAGTATCACAAATTGACAATTCCAGTCAACCAAATAAACAGGAATCAGGACAAAGCCATCCACACTAATTAGGCAGCCAAATCTGTTTGCACAAAGTAAACAAACTAAGGTTGGAACAAAGAAAACATACAAACTGATACCTTCAATACCCGAGTGGAATATCCCAAGTCCAAACCAGTAAAGGTAGTTATTTAGAGGTGTGAGATCATATACATTGAGATACAACAAAGCACGGTTGTTTCGTCCTTTACTCTGCCCCTTTGTGCCACTTGAATTCGATGAAAACAACCGCATTTTCATGAGTATATAACCCTGATTTCTCCAATTCTATATCAAAAGCTCATCATCTTCCAACCTAAAACTCCACAAAGAAGCAAGATTAGAAGAGAATTATGCTATTGTCAGTTTATCAGAACTGCTTAACATTGCAGTAAGGAAACAATAAATTGTGCTTATTCAGTCAGGAAAAAAAAAATTTTACATACTTTTTTTTTCAGACTAAGAGCAAAACAGTTCCATAAGGGCTACTTAGTAGAATGTTGCATACTGAGAAACAAGTACCAACCAGTAAGAAATCGTTTGGTTACCAAGAAAATAACGAGAAGGGAAAGAAAGAGAAAAATTTGGGAATCAATCCTCATAATTTATGAAGAATTAAGCTTCAAAAGCAAATGTCCTCACTTTTCCAGCAATTCCCAGCTACCAAACAGAGCATACTCACAACTTAATTGACTTAGCCATGAACATGGATCGGGCACGAAACCCCATAAGATGCAGATGGGAAGTGAAAGCAAAGCTACAAAATCTAGCGAAAGACTCTAACTTTGAGTTTTTATACATACAATGAGCACAGAAAAAGAAGAAGAGCTTACAAGTTTCGATTTTTTCTCGAAATTATGCAGAGATCAGAGGTAGAAAGAATGAAATTCAGGGAATTTGGATCGAACGAAAATAAAGGTACATGAGTTTGTTCCAAAAAAAAAAAGAAAAGAAAAAGAAAATAAAGGTACATGAGTCACGAGCCTTTTATAAAAAATAAAATAAAAGGTTTAATAGTATTAATTAATTGAATAAACATTTAACTTAAGA